GTGCCGCGGACAGATTAGCATACAGTGAGGCCACGCCCACACAGTACAGTGAATAGACTGAGGGCCACGCCCACACAGCACAGATGATAGAGTAGCTTACAGTGAGACCACGCCCACAGAGTGCCGCCGACGAATTAACGTGCACCGAGGGCCACGCCCACAGAGTGCCGCGGGTGGATTAGCATACACCGAGAGCTACGCCCACAGGGTACAATGAACTGATTAACATATACTGCAGGATTAGCATACACCCAGGCCACGCCCACTGACTACAGCCCACTGCTTAGCATACACTGAGGGCCACGCCCACAGAGTACCGCGAGCCACGCCCACAGAGTACAATGAACGGACTAGCGTACACTGAGGACCACGCCCACGGATCCCTGCTTCTGGGAAACTGGAAACATGCTTGAAACTTGCGGCTCCCGCCAGCTGCCCTACTAAAGTTGTGTTTTTCTCCCTTTGTTTCTCTTTTCCTCTTCTCAACCTCCTGCTCGCCCCCTTCAAGCGAGAGGCTTCTCCCCTGGCTAGGAACGTTTCCTGCCTGGCAGTCAGAAGAGAGACAGAAACCACGCCGTAGGCAAGGGGGGAGAGGCGAGGTCTGGAATGGGAGCTCTGGGGAAGGAAGAGGAGAAAAAAACGTGACGCTCTCGTTTAAACATCCAAATCAAAAGTTGAGGAATCGGGTTCGTTGCTGTTTGCTAGTCAACTTACTGTAAACCTGATTTCCCTTGTGTCCAGGCAGTCCCCTGTAAGTGCAAGGCTGCGCTTCCTTCCTGCACCCTCAAGACTGCAGCAGCCAGACTCTTACCTCATTCTTAACATCCCTTTCCTCCACCCAGGCCTGATCACACTGACAGATACTGTCTCCAGACTGTCTGAAAGCTAGTCCTGATTGCCATGGGCTCAGTGGATGGTATGTACTTCCAGGGTTTATTTTTTAAGGGGGTATAAATACACACACACACACACACACACACACACACACACACACACACACACACACACACACACACACACACACACACAACACACAAAAGTGCAGTATGGTCTTTCCCCTGATCATGTTTCTGGCTGGAACTCTGTTAAAATTTCTCTCCCTGTCCCCTGTGGAACGTCGGTGCTCTCTTCCCACTCCCTGCTCCCCCGCCACTTTCTAAAATTGCTCCTGCTTTTGTTGTAGGAGTAATCTCATTCTGCCCTGCAATTAGCAGTCTGCCCAGCCCGTGCCCCATGTGATTCTCTGCTCCAGCATCCACTTGAGTGATTGCTAATGGATCATGGTCTTTTCTCCCCACCCCAAAGCCCAGATGGAACCGGGAAGCTCTTCTCAGAGTGAAGTGAGGGGAAATTCATTGTAAACTCAAGATCAAATTACTGTTTTGCAGCCAGTTGGTGCTTCCTTCCTAACTGCAAGCTTTCTGGAAGGGCTGCTGTCAGTTTTTGCTTTTATACCCCAGAGCCACTCTTGTTTTACATAGCAGACAATACTGAAAGAAGATGTTCTGGATAGTTTTATGTCGACTTGACACAAGCTAAAGTCATCTGAGAGGAGGGAGTCTCAACTGAGAAAATGCCTCCATAAGATGGGGCTGTAGGCAAGCCTGTAGGGCATTTCTTAATTAATGACTGATGGTGAAGGCCAGCCCATTTGTGGGTGGGGTCATCCCAGGGCTGGTGGTTCTGGGCTCTGTAAGAAAGCAGACTGAGCAAGTCAGGGTAAACAAGCCAGTAAGCAGCACCCTCCATGGCCTGGGTTCCTGTCCTGTCTTCATTGCTTTTGTTACATGAACTGTGAGCGAATAAGCTCTATCCTTTTCAGTTTGCTTTTGATTGTGATGTTTCATAACAGCAATCGTAACCCTAACTAAGACAGAAAGGCCTGGACAATGAATGAATGGGTGGATTATGAGTGAACTGGTGAAGGAAATAACACTCTCTAGTAGTAGTTATCTTTCAGGCTAGCCAGGAAATTTCTGTAAATGACTCACAGAACTTCAAAGCACCAAAACAACAAACAAAAACAAGTTCTGTATGTAGTACCATTTTCTAAATGTTTGTACTTGCTACCAGTTCGATTAAATACAACTCTTGTCGAAGTTTTGAGTTTTCGGGTTTCAGAAAGACGCTAGACTGAGCAGATCATATGGCGAAATTATGTTATTCACGCTACTTCCATCGGCCCTTCAGATTGGCTGGCCTGTCTAGGGGCTGGAGCGCCACTGGATTAGGTCATCTGTAAGCAAAAGAGAAACCAACAGGAAATCTAGAGGGATGGGAAGAAAGGTTTTGCACCAGGTCTTCTTTGCTGCCAGAGGGTGGGAGGACTGTACTGGTGTCTGGTGGCTGCTGCTTACTTGGTAAGCAGATGTAGGGATGGAGATGGCTCAGCAAGCTTAAATTGTGCCATACTTTTTCCTTTACCCCTGACATGACTTTATACACAGTCCCTCTTTTACCAAGCCGTCTTCATCAACTAAGCTACGAATTCCATCTCCTTCTGTGGAGACACTGAGTGACACATTGGCCTGCCCTGCAATCAAGGGAGTATCCCATAAACAAAACACTAATGCAGCTAGAATGGTATTATTGTGCTCATCAGGAAAGACAAAAAAATGTCCATGCTGGTGTTTTGTCCATGAATAATTTCCAACCTAAATGGGTTTAGCAACCCAGTACCCCATGAAAAGTGTTGGGGCCTGAAGTGTAGCTCCATGGTGGGACACTTGCTTGACTTTGATACTGACTGATCTCCAGGACTAAATGAAAACAAATGGCAGAGACAGATGGGGCTGAAACAGAAGATGTTGGGGCTTGGGGGTCTCTGTGTTTCAGAATATACATCCGGCATCGTAGATCTAATAGAATTTATTAGCATCTTGACATCCCCAGGACTGTAGGGAAACCACTGGCTAGGGATGGCAGCTCAAGGCAGTAACAGACAGCTGGATGGTAGAGCAAGTAGACATGGGGACCTTCAGGAAGATAAAGTCCCCCGGATGGTGGACCAGGAGCATTTACTTCGAAATAACACTGATATAACACTTTCTGTTTGTTGGAATAAAGGCAAATAGATGTTTGGGTTTCCTGTGACAAGCACTGGGCTGAGAATCAGGAGACGTGAGTGTTACACCAGCCAGACACTTGAAGATGGGACTCTGAGCAAGATGCTAGTTTGTAGACCTGCTTCTGCGCCTGTGGAAGAAAGGAGTCTATATCTTGCCAGGTTCTGTTGTAGGTTTCCTAAGATACAAGATATAAAATGTAATAAAATGAGTAAGACTTGATTTATGCTTCCTTGTGTAACTTATTTAGTGTGCTAAAGGTTAAATTCACTAGCATTAAAATAATAAATCAAGTGTCAATTACATGTATACATTGCATAGTGCTTCTGTGTGTGTGTGTGTGTGTGTGTCTGTGTGTGTCTGTGTGTCTGTGTGTCTCTGTCTCTCTCTGTCTCTCTCTCTCTCTCTCTCTCTGTGTGTGTGTGTGTGTGTGTGTGTGTGTGTGTGTGTGTATAATCTATTGTCTTTTTCTGTCCTTGGAATTTGTTGAAGACTCAGTCTTTTGTGTGCCCTGTCAGTTGGTGTGCATGAGGAGCATTACAGAGCAGTAGGATGTGGGGACTGTGAGTGCAGCTAGACTCGGAGAACAGACTTGGGAGAACAGTCAAAAAGGCCAGAGAGCTGAGTCTGCGTCTGCATTATGGATTTGCCACTTACTGGGTATATTGCTCTAATTTCCTAATTTGAAGCATGAGGGCTGACCGACTATCCCCCCCCCCCATGATTGGAGGAAAAGGAAAGAGCCTGTCTTTAAAACATCTATCACACTGCTAAACATATCTAAACATAAACTGCCGGCTACTCTTACATGGACTTGACACAAACTAGAGTAATCTGAAAGGCGGGAACCTCCATTAAGAAAATGCCTCTATAAGATCAGTTATAGGGCATTTTCTTAATGATTGACATAAGAGGGCACAACCCATTGTGGGCAGTTCCATCCCTGGGTGGAGGTCCTGAGTTCTGTAAGACAGCAGGTTGAGCAAGCCATTGGAAGCAAGCCAGTAAGCAGAGCCCCTCCATGGCCTTTGCATTAGCTCCTGCCTCCAAGACCCTGCCCAGTTTGAGTGCTTGTCCTAACTTCCTTCCTTAATAAACAGTGTTGTGGAAGTGTAAGCTGCATACCCCCTCCCCCCCCAGGTTGCTTTGTAGTCATGGTGTTTAATTGCAACAATAAAAACCCTAACCAAGACAATACTATACACACTTGAACGTTGGCTGTCTCTTCTTCATTTCTCCAGTCACCTGGCCTCTCTTCCATAAATATCCTTGTAGTTCAATCCTCAAAGGTAAAAAAAAAAAAACAGATTTGGAGATTCCTGGGACATTTCACAAACTCTTCTGAGCGATGAGACCTACTGGAAAAAAGCCTCTCTGGACACTAGGGCGCCCTGGCTCTGAGGATTCTGTAGTGTGGAGATAACCCAGCATACCCAATCCTGTCAGGAAACGCAAGAAACAGGACATTGATGTAAAACCTTCATGTGGACAAAAGAAAAGTGCCCCTTGAGGCCCTACTGCTTATCTGGCAGAAGTGCTGCTTGGTTAGTCAGGGAGTGAACAGCTGCAGCTGTTGGAGGAGACCCCACAGCCACAGGCTGAACTCTCTCAGCAAGAGGACTGGAGGCCACAGGGTCTCCAACCCTGATCTACAGGAAATGAAGGCACAGTTATAGTGCAGCAGTCCGGTCCTGGCAACCATGCTCACTTCACCTCACCGTGCCCCCAAGTCCTCCGGAAACAATGAAACATTGACAGGAATGAATCCACATTGAACTTTAGATGGAAAAGGAAGACTTTGATAAAGTAAGTGTTTTTTGTTTACTTGTTTATTTTTGTTTTTCAGACAGTTTCTCTCATATCCTAGGCTGGCTTCGTTGAGCTTTCAGTGTAGCTAAGTATATCTTGAACCTCCGTCCGTCTGATGCCACCTCAGAGTTCCTGGATTTCAGGCATGTACCAGCATGCTCAGGCGTGTGGTGCTGGGCTTAGAATCCAGTGCTTCACAGATGTTCAGCAAACACTCCACCATCTAGGCTCCCTCCACAGCCCCAAACAAATATTTCTTAAAGTGTCTGAAAAGGTTTTGTGTAAAGTCTTCATCGTCTGTTAGGCTAACAATTCTTAAACTGCTCCTCTTAAATATTTTTAAACCTTTATCAGGGCACTACTCAAATCATAGAAACTTGTTTTCTCCATGTTCTCACAAAGACTCAGAATCTTCAGACCAGTCTGACTTTTTCTATTGCTTCCTCAACATCTGTTTTTAAAGAGAAATTGGAGCTATTTTTCTTCATTAGCCATTCTGGGCTCTATGATCAATCTGATAATTGGGTTAAGCAGATTATATCACCATGAGAGGCAGTCAGCCGGGTCACAACGAGTTATTTATGTGATGGACATAACTGAGTCACATAACAGACTTCTGCAGATAAATTGAATCATTATTGATTAGAAATAAATCACTGCTAATAGACCCAGGCAGGGTCGGGGAGGAATATCTGCCAGCCACAGGACTGGCTAGAACACACTTCCCAAGGCTGGCAAAACGGTGCAGTAGGTGAAGGGGTGGCCACTATGGTGATGAATTGTTTATGATCTAATAGAGCCATGTGATATATTGTTTATGATCTAGTAAAGCCACTGGAGATCAGTTTGCAAAGCCAGCCACACTAGTTAGCTATAGAGAGCAGGCAGTGGTGGCATACACCTTCAATCTTAGGACTCAGGAGACAGAGGCAGTTGGATCTCTCTGAGTTCAAGGCCACCCAGGGCTATATGAGAGTGAATCAGTCTAAAGAGTGGCAGAGCTCATGCCTTTTATCCTAGCACTAGGGAGTATAAAAGACAGGATCAGGTCTTCAATAGTCAGTCTCAGGATTCTCCAGCCACTTTGAGGAAAGCATAGCAGTCTGAGATTGCAGTCTGAGGTTTGGTGGTTTGAGGATCACCTTTCAGTCTGAGGTAGAGTAAGAGCTAATGGCCTGCTGCTTTGCTTTCTGATCTTCAGAGTGAACCTTGAACCCCAATCTCAGTCTCTGGGTCATTTATTTATCGTCTTCCAGGCCACAAAAGCAGACAGAACTGCTGCATTTTGATTCCCAGTATATATATAAAAAGTTGGGTGAAATGGCATACATCCTTAACCTGAATTCTGGGGAAACCAAGACAGGAAGATCCTAGGAACTCAGTGGCCAGTGAACTTCACTGAATTGATAAGCTCCAGGTTCAGTGAGAGACCCTGTCTCAAAACAAAATGGAGAGCAATTGAAGATACCTGGCAACTGACCTCTGACCTCTGAATATATGTACACACACATGCATACTCTCTCTCTCTCTCTCTCTCTCTCTCTCTCTCTCTTATATTTATCAATAAAAGAATAAAGAATGTATTTAGAGAAACACACATAAAATTAAATACCCAAACATACAAAAATAAAATTAAACAAAGCTTTAAGAAATCACCTTCAAATAAGAGTGACAGTTGGTTAATTGCTGAGTAGACATGGGCAGCTGGGGACATTAGAAGACAAGGCACTATAGTGTAGACTTGTGGGGGGTTGATGGGGAAATGTACTTCTTTCTATGTTTATCTTGTTGATTATTAAATAAAGTACTTGTTTGGCAAATGAAACAGCAAGTTAGACAGGACTAGGAGTCAAAGAGGATTCTGGGAAATGTAGTAGAGAAGTGGTGATCCAGGCTGGAAGTGACATAGCAGGGAGACTCATATTTGAGCAAGGAAAAATAGGAAGTGTCCCTTTTTCCCCTTCACCTCCTCCAGCAGCAGGATGTGAGCCACCAGCAAGAAGGGACACCAATAAGGCGTCCGATAAGTCTTATAAAATATATAGATTTATGATAATTAAGACTGAGCTAACAGATGAGAATCCTAGTCATTGGCCAAACAGCCTTTGAAATTACCACAAGTTTCTGTGTATTCATTTGGGCCTAACTCGGGCGGGCGGCTGGCATAAAGCGCACACGTGGCGGTGGAGCTCTGCAGCTTTTGGCAGAAAGAAACAGGGGGGCACAGAAAAGATCCAAGATGGCAGTTTTGCTGGACAGTCAAAGCAGGGAGCAGAGAATATTGGAGACTAAGCTAAAAGAGAAAACAAAAACAAAAACAAAAACAAAAACAAGCAGCAAACAGGCCATTTCTGAGCCTGGGTGGATCTGAGCGCACTAGAAGAGCTTTAATCTGTCCCCAGTTCAGATAGGAAATCTTCTTGAATCTTTTGCCCAAGCTAAGCAAACCTAGAATCTACTTGGCATTTGATTGACACCCCAGAGTTTGCACTATGTTGTCCTTAACGTCTCTGATCCCCACCCTCCTTCAGAGAAGACTAAATGCTGAGAAAGAAGAAAGTTCACTCTACATCTCCAAAATCTGAGTAGCAAACCATCCAGAGAGGAAGACCAAGGTGGAACTGAATAGCCATTCAACATAACTTTAAAGACTCACACAGACTTCAAGAGTTGGGTTGGGAAAATGACCTTGGCAGTCCCACTCTCCTTAGCTAACCCATTGTAAAAGATCAGTTACCTGCTTGGTTAGCAGTAACCCAGGGTGTGACAGACATCCTGCCCTGGAAAGAGATGAGATATAGACAAGGGGCTGAGGGAGGAGATAGACAGTGAGTGGCTTGGGGACAGACGTAGCACAGAGATTGACAACAGGAAGGAGAGCGGTGAGAGCTCCTGGGTGGCAGCCACAGAAACCTGGCTAATTAAGACAGCAAATACGGTTTCAGAAATACCCAAGGGATAGCAGAGATTTGAAATCCAGTGCTGAAGACAAAAAGCAGGAAAAAGAACACAATGCCAGGATACAATCTCACTGGCTTCTCCTAACAATTTGTGGATTTTTGTTTTCTCTTCCTTCTTCTCGGGATGCAGACCCATCGCATCAGCTATGCTTAGGCCACATGCTTATCTTCCACGTGACAGTCACTGGATTGTCCTTGCTGTACAAGTAAGGCAGACTCAAGAGCGCACAGGTGATGACAGGAGTCGAGGGACATCTGGGTACCAGGACTGGCTGTCATAGATCGGTGTTTACTAGAGTAGTATTGGGTGGTGGCTTCTAGGGTCTCTGAAAGCTTCTGTGATTAGCCCAGTATCTGGTCAGAGAAGGCTAAGGTTTCACCCCATTGACTAAAGACCACATACCACAGGGGCTAAAGCCCACACATCCCAGTGACTAAAGAACATCACACACC